GGAAATGTCATGCGTCTCCCAATACCGCTGTTGCAATAACGCTCCTTGCCCAAATCTATTGATATATTCAGCGTAGGAAAATTTCCTATTTCCGAAAAGAAAAAGGCGAATGTACTAACACTATTAGTTCTGCAAATGAAAACTCTAATGATCAAAATCTCTATTAAGAACTAGAAAAGTATGCGCCAATCATAAACCTTGGAATTCAGATAAAAATCATTAGAAACCTAAAAAAAGGAAGTACTGTAGTGACATGTAGATCAGAAGATGAAAACAAGAAACTTAAAGCGATCCTGGGAAATTATAGCAATAATAAAGCAAAAATTAATACTCTCATCTAAAAAAAAAAATGCGCACCAAAATGTACATACCACAACACTGCAAATGGTACCACGTTGGGAGAACGTCTAAAGATAATTTCCGACCACATTCAAGTCGATCCGTCAAAACTAAAAATCTCGTTTCGTCTCAATGATAAAAATAAAATGTATAATAGAATGCTCTCCAGTAGTATTTATGTCTTTTGAGTGAAGGTAAATTCTTTAAGAGAGGGAGAATCCACAAAATAACAGAATGCTCGGGGCGCGAAGATTTTATGTATGCCAAGGTTGTGAAGAAAGTGCAAGTACAGATCATGCTGTGCCTTTTGTGGTGAAGCGAACGAAATAAACGGTTGTAATGCAGTCAGGCGCTAGTGTCTAAGCTTCAAATTATACAATGAAGTCAATGACAGCAACCTAGATACAAATCATGCGGCATGTGACCCCAATTGCCCCATATACCTCAGAGAGCAGAGAAAGATCAAAACAAGAACTGCATATGAAGAGCAATCGTAACAGTCTCTCACAGTAGCCTCTTTCATTAGACATTAAAATGTCAACAGCACTCTTTAGAACCTCATTTACAACCGATATCAGCATTGCCCAAATTATCCCCCAGAAAGCCCAGGCAGCTAGACACAGCCTAGTCGAGTCTAGTAACAGAAAATAAAGTAGACTGCATTCTTTTCACTGTATCGTAAAATAAAAAAAATGCTGCTTCCCAAGAAACAAGAGAGGAGACTTACATTAGTTTCACAAAATAAAAGGTTTTATATAAAAGTAAAATACTGACAGAAGAATAATAGTTGCCAAAAAGGTTGCAGAATTAATATACATACGCTGTTATTCATAAAGTCTGTGCATGACAAACCGCCCCCAATTTATATTCCATCTACGACAAGATGATACAGTTCATCACAAGACGATAATGGAAATAATGAACAATGTTTTTATTTTGAATGATCCACCACAAAATAATCAAGATCAATAAATATTAAGAAACGATACAAGAAAACCTAACACTCCAAAAGACATACCATTCACAATAAAATAAATTACGGATATCATGGAAAAACTTTCCAAATACAAAGCATCAGACCCAGTTCTGATTAACAATAAATTAATTCAAATAATTCATAAATAATTGATTAAAGGTGAAAGATTAAATTGTGTATTAAGTCCATACAAACGAAAGAGTTTTCTCAACACCGTTACTGAAACAGTTGTACTATATGGGGAAAAGATATGGGCCCAATCTATTACTAAAAGAAAGGAAATATAGCTGCAGGTAACACAAAGCCCGTTCTTACTAAGCATTAGAAAGTTCTGGAGAACAATATCAAATGCAGCGCTCTGTGTGCTAGCAGGAATAGCTTCTCTGCACGTAACGGAGCAAATGGAAAAGGAACAGTTTTGAGGATCAAGAGGAACTATTCCAAAAGTGACAGAACCTTCGAACATTCCAATTACAAATCTTCTGGTAATACATACAAAAGACAGTAAGCTCAAAAATCAATATTTTAAAAGGCACACAAATTAGAGACTACTACCCTTGCTCATAAACAGACGGCTCCAATATGAAGAAGGAGTCGGGTGCGCATACATCATTCTTACTAATATTCAAATAAAATCATACGAAAAGTTAAAATTAGATATAAAATAGTATTTTCCAAGTTATCAGCAATTAAAAATGACCGTAGAATACTGTACCGGAAACGAACTCAAACAAGTTCAAACACGATTCTAACTTTGAAAAGTATTAAACATAATTGTCCGATCATCTATGATAGCTATGGTGGCTCCATCTCGAATCCCTATGTCCCAGGGGCATCTATATTAACTGCCTGTTCACAATCAGAAACCATAAATAAAAAAGCATAAAGTAAAAGCACAACATAAGTAAATGTTAAACACCCTGGAACTTTCAAGAATTTAAATTAGAATTGACAAACGGCGAAAAGCCTGAAAGACAAAATCAACGAAAGTGCAGATTAGGTTCGACAAAAAAACAAATTTAATAATTTATCTTCGGAAAATTACTAAATATCACTTCTCACATCAGTAATATGTTTTCGTAAAATTTTGCTAGGTATAAAGTATCACAGAAATTTTGGTTTTCAGAAAATGAAAAAAGTGTTAAACCATATAAAAATCCATCAATTAGTTTAGAGTTTAGAACTTCCGTTAATAGCCTCTTCTTAAAGCAGTCTGGATTTAGGCTAAGAATTTACATGCGCTTTCCTCTTCAAGGGTAGGGCACCTTTATTAACTGACTGTCCATAACCAGTAACCATATCCAAATATTTTCCATTTAAAGGCGATTTGAGTAATTAATTTGACATGATCTGAGTGAATTTCTTACTTATATCTCTTGTAAAAGGTATTTCTAAATTACGAAACTCCAAAAATAAATTATTTGCCCAATATGCAGATACCAAGTATCTCTGGCAGGATGGATAGTTAGAATTTTATTTCAGTAACAGCGGTGGTAGAATTAATTCAAAAGAACAGTTCTCACCACACCACAAATCGTTTTTCTATGTCTACACTTTTCTTCCCTGGAATTCTGCGGCTTCTTAGAGCAGAAAGTGCAAAGAGGAAATTTGAAGGTTGTGGAAGATCTAGAAGCTAACATTATGTAGGCAACTACATAACACATGATTTTTAAACTGTATTTTATATATTGTTTTTCTGTATTCTAAAAAGAAATACTTTCTATAGCAGTATTTACGGGAGTTCTTTTTACGTTACGCAAGTATTAAAGATTTTATCTACATTGCTGAATCCAAAGAAATTGGGAGTAGTGCATTGTTGAGAACATTAATTGCACAATACTGAATTGGTATTTAATAAACTGCACGTGCTAAGTTTCTCTTAAGTCTTCTATAGTTCTTTAACTATCTTTTCACTCTAACTGTATAAAAAATTCATGAGTAGTAAAACTCCAGTCCTAGAAAATATTCGGGAAATCTACGGGAATGGGATCATAGTACTTTAGAAATAATATGTCAACCATTTTCTCTAAGCTATCTGTTCAGCACGAAAATCATTCGATTTCTAGGGTTTACGTAAATAATTCATTTGTGATTTAGCTGAAGATTTCTAATTCTAGATTTTGTACAAGAGAGCTAGATGTATCTAGCCTAATTAGATGATGACTGAGTGATTGCAGCCAAGTAATGATGGAGATTCCATAGAGATGGCAATGGAAATATCTCTTATCGTTTTAGGGTTTTTTATTTCAGCAGAATGCCACTTGCCTTTACTGGGAAACTAAAATTTTCTAAATCAAATGAAAATGCAAGGATCTGTGCCCCCGATGTTGTGAGCGAAGCCTACAATTAAATAAACTGAATGACATTGTAAAGAATGTTTCGAGGAACATTCTCTTATTCCTCTCGTTCCTGGGAAAACGCAAAGTCACCTATTACATCAAAAAATGCCATTGTGAAGAATAACCATTCTCGGGAATTCAAGGGCATCCTATTAGGTCGGCTGAATACTATTAAGATCACTAATATTAAGAATCTGTTCTTTCGGTTCTGGGATCAATACTATTCGGTTAGATAACAATTATCATTGCTGAAGTTAAATTCTTAGAGCACTTTTCAAATACACTTCATCTCGTTATGCTTTCAGTTAATTATGTTATCAACGGCCTTTCCTTCCATAAATAAATATTTGTATTTCTGGAACAAAAGTTTTCGGAAATGGGGATAAAAAAATATAGCGAAAAATTAAAACTTTTAGTTGGTAATTTGAAGTGAAAATTAGAAAAGGAATGTTTTATAATTTTATTCTGTTTTGTGTGCAGCTGAAGGAAATAAATGGAAACAATTTGATCAATCAGATTCCAGGATGAGACAAATCATTTTTCAGGAAAATGTTCCTTTTTGATTTAAGGCCCACCAGCGGCCGAGCGGTAAAGACGCTGAACACTGGTAGTTCGGTCCGAGGTTCGAATCCCGCGAACGGGCTGGCTGCATGGGCGTTTTCGTGGTTTTCCCCATGTGTAACGTGTATACGAGCCAGTTTCCCTTAGAAAGTCCTCCACGAAAGGCATCCCTCCCCATAGGCAGATAGCCCTAGTGTGCTTTGCCATAATTAAATACACCACACCACACCACCTTTTTGATTTAATTGATATTTTATGACATTGGCAGTATTATTTTAATGGCCATGAAATAACAGAATTATACACTTTCACTATGTCTAATGGATAGATAGAAAATGCTCTGTCTCAAATCTTTACTATTAGTTTTGAAATAGAATTTCTGATAATTACGAACTGAATAAATGTTCAAGAAGTACTCTGTAGAAAATCAGAGATCGGCATTCAATCGCGCCACTGAGCAGCGCTTGGAGGTGTATTATTTGCCCCTGAGAGTTGTCATCGCACCAATTCTGATGTGAAATTGTAAGCATTTTTAAAAAGCAGAACGCATTTATACAAGTTTGAAAAATATTTATAAGTTTCATTTAGACTAAATAAACTCCTTGAACCACAAAATTTATAGCCACATAATGCTTTAATTGCAAATCTATAAAATACTGAATTATAAAGTGAAAGAAATCCATTTGCTTTATACTGCATATAAACGAGCTAAGATTATTCCGTGTAAAATGTGTTGTTCAGAAACTTTTATAAAACTATAATAATAAAAATAAAAATATTCTTAATTTGCAGGTGTGTAATGATTTATTATTACAACATAACACATTTACAATATCAATAAATTATATTTTGTGGAAGATCGACATATCTATATCTCTTATTTCAATGAATCAGAGCTTTGCCAATTCCAGCTCCATATCCATATCCCCCGCCATAACCATATCCCAAAGCGGCTCCGTGTCCGATGATGCCTCCATATGCAACAGGAGCAGCAGCTGCAAGTGGAGCAGCAGCTACAACTGGAGCTGCAACAGCATGTCCGTAGACTGCAGTGGCAATAGGAGCAATATGGTCGACAGATGGTGCAGCATAAGGGCTAGCGATGAGGGCTGCAGCAGGGGTGCTGGCAGCGGTTCCTGGCTCGTTGGTCTTTACAGCGGCACGGAATCCAAGTTTATCAGCTACATAGTCTACTCGTCTGGCTCTGCCATCGATATCATGGATGGTGTAGGTTCCCTTCTTGTTGCCATAACCATCACCTACTTCAGATCTGGAGTTGGAAGCTCCAAGTTTATCAACGATGTCATACCCAAAAGCATAGTTTCCATAGGCCTAAAGTATTTACACATTGAAATATTCAGGAAATAAATATAAAAAGAAATTCTACAAATAAGTATCTGTAAAAAGTAACAGCAGAAGACTTCAAAGGTATTATATTAAATAATTTTTGGAAATAAAGGGAATATAGAATAAGAATTTTCTTTTCAGTAGCAGTTTAGAAATAAGAAATATTTACGTTATCTTTTACTACTAGTGTGTTTCTTGAAAAAGCTTTATCATTACTTAATTTTTTTAGAAGCTAGTGAACTAAATTAATACACACATGAACTAGAAATACAGGATAGAAAATTTAGCCAAATTTCGAAAAGCTCTAATTTTTATCACATGATATTTATTCAACCAAAATTTTCTCGCTAAGAACTTGATCTATATTAAAAAATCTTCTAAATTCGAAAATTCCAAAAAATGCATTTAATGTATTAGTTTTCTGAATAAAAATGATGGCTGCATGAAATTTAGCACAATTTGTTACTTTATGCTGCAGATTAGAGATGGGGAATTTCTGTATATGTCGAAATCACTTAAACGATGTGTTTCAATGTCTTCGAAGCACACATTATATGTGTACTCGCTTAGTTTCGTACCACAAAGCAAGTGAAGTCTATTTACTTGAGGGGAAGAATTTCTAAGGGAATTAACGATGTAGTGAACTTAAGATGTAGACACTTTTAACACAGGGTAAACATGAAAGCATTCATAAGCAAGTTCATTTTGGGATATGAACTCTAACTAGCTGCCTATTTCAAGCTGTCTCACAATCTGGGCCATGATGGATTTCATAATATATTTTGTTTAACTGATGTCCTAGAGAATATCTTACAACAAAAAGAACTGCTTATTTTAAAATAATGGTTAAATGTACTTCAAATTATCCTTATAAATAATTTTAAAGAAAGTCCGAAACCAAGTTCGAATGTTCATTTTCATATGTATGGGTTTTGAGTATATTTTTCTGCAACGTATCCTTCAGTTTTAAAGGGATAGAAGGGAAAGGTAATATTAAACTGGTGCATGTTAATATAATAAAAATATGAAAATTAAAATGACATATAAACTAAGAAAAACTCTGTGCTTTCTTAGTGTAAGCAAACGATTCACTAACATTCCACGCTATGGGATATCATCAAGTATACCACGTGTATGTTCAGAATGTTTTGTAATAAAAACGCAGCGAAAGGAACTCCTAAGTCAATGATAATATTATTCACATTATCTCGGGTAGCAGAAGAGAAACTCATGGTGAGACTCATTATATTTATATTTAATGTAAAAAAAAATTTAAAAGCTATTCTAGAGTTGTTCATTTAAAAAGTTAATTCGCTTTTGGATTTTAATTGTAATGTGATACTATATAAACTCTGCTACAGGTTACGTTTTATTTTATGGCGGTTTGTGGATATCTGCTTTAGTTTTGAAAATAGACTCTTAAGTACTTATATATGTCAGTCATATCATAATATAGTTAAAGAATACTATGGTATCGTTAATTTAATTCCGAAAAAAAAAAGAAGCATCACCGATGGGTGAGCATTTATAGAACAGTTAAAACGATGAGCTTTCTCACTGGTTAGCAAGATTTGAACAAAATATCATTGATTTTTACATCATTGAAATGAAAAGGGGGTCTGCTCAATTTGAAAAGTGCTGACTTTCAGAAGAGGTAACTTTCAGTAACAAAGCAGCTTCAGCAATTCCTTAATTAATTCTCTATATTTAGCAGGAAAGCTAACAGCGAGAAATTTTAAATGTCCACTGATAAAACAACATTAAGGAATTTTGTGGCAAATAAATTCAATGAATACCATTAAATTCCATGCCCACTTCTCGTTTGCTTTAGTTGGCGAAGCCTTATTGGGGAAAAAAAAAAAACAGATTATGTTTTCCAGTGTCATTAAATTAGATTTCACATGCATACTAGGGCTTAGTACCCATACAGACACTTAAAAGTTCGAGATTTAATTAAAAAAAAGTGACGTGGCCACCACATGACTTCATTGTACTGCGTGTTAAAAATTCCACATATTTTGCTGCACTTCACTTAAAATCATTTCCTAGAATTATTCTAAATTAACCGAATCCTCAAGTTAAGTTGAAGATGACATCAAAAACTGCAAATTTTGAAATTAAATATTGTCAGGTTTTGTCATACGGGACTCAAACTTCTTACAATTGTATTTTTTCATAACGAGCAGTAAACTTTCCGAAAAATAAATACAGGAACCGGAAGACTGCATTAAGAGTTAGATTTTGTTAATTGACCAAAATTATTTTCTTTTTTAAATTTCATATTGGAAAAACATTAATATTTTTGCTATTTAAAATCACTTCTGTAACTGGATGTATATGACAACGATTAACGATTGCGAGAAAATAAAGGCACGTAAGAATTCTTCAGGGGGATAATGGGTGCTCTATATAGATATATATATATATATATATATATATGGGTACTGCTACTTTTGGTACTGCTGATTGAAGTAAAAAGGGAGGTGCACAACCAGCTGGTATAGTAGTCCCATATACAAAATTTCACCGTTCGACAGTTAATCGTTTTGGAGTTATGCGAAATGCATACTCATGTGAGTATGTGCAGATAGCATGAAAAAAAATAACTTTAAATCCATTTTACATTCCGTTTTTGAAAAAAGAATCTTTATTCTCTCTGTTGGTACAGATTTTACGCAAAAAAATTGACCAAATGGATTCGAGAACTGTCAAAATGAATAGTTCACGTTTACAATACTTCCTTTATTTCGTATAAGGAAGTAAAAAATGAGAAAGGTTTGAAGAGGACGCAAAAATTATGGAACATAAAAATAATGAGGTAATTATTTTACTGAAGTGATTTTAGAGAAATGTTTGAACAGGAGTGTCACGATGAATCTCCTTCTGTGAAAATAATAGAAAGGAAGCTTTTTATAACGCTGAATAACGATTAATTTTAAGCGAGGTTAAATGAAATTTATTACTATTTAAAGGTATTAATTTTAACAATGAAATATTGATTTTATATTACGTAATACATAACGTATGTAATCAAAATCGTAAAAACAACCTTGTATTTAGCGTAGGTATAATGAAACAATCGATTTCGAGGGCAGCTAAAGGTCCCTCCTCATCAGAAGAAAGAAATACCTAGAAAGAAGAAAATAAAGGAGTCAAAGAAACACGTGGTCCTTATCAGCACTGCACGTGGTTATAACTAGATTTTTAATCAGAGTTGCATTGGCCGCCTACTTTTACTGAGCCAGGCTATCTGATCAAGCATAAAGGACAAGAAAAATTAGCGAAGTTAAATAGGGAGCGAGGGGCAAATGCACCTTACGCACAAAATCTGAATATGTTCAAATAATCTTCAAATAATGGAAAGCAACCACTGAACGGATTTTTATACCCTCTGGTAGTACCAAACGCGAGGAGGTAACGCCATCTATCGGCAAAAATAACTGAATTAAGATAGTAGAATTTTAAAGGCATTAGGAAGGACTGGATTGGACTTCAAATCATTAACTAAACCTGCTAAATTTTTGTGAATGTGAAAAGCCTCAAAAAAATCCAATTCACCTATTGAAGAAGCCTTTTGGATAATTTTTGCAGACCCAAAATCAAAATTATGGTTAAAAGTCCAACTATGATACGCTATTGAAGACTTGTTAATTTCGCCTTTTCTGACATAAGATTCATGTTCCTTGATACGAAACTTCAACGCTCTTTTTGTTTGGCCAATATATCTTAAACCACACTGACACGATATACTATAAATTCCAAAAGAATTCAGACAGAAATGCAATCTTTTAGAATCGAAGGGTGAATTTTATTAATAGGGGAGAAACCGACTTGAAAATTGAATTTCTGGAGAATCCGTGCAATTTTATAGCTAAGAGAAGGATAAAATGGAAGCACGACAGGGTCATTAATATTATTTCTAACAGTGGAATGTCTTCTTTGATGGGAATCTGAAATTTTTTTAACGGCTTTATCAATAATCACGGGAGAAAATCCACGGTCAATCGCAACTGCTCTCAAATAATTAAGTTCACTGGTAAGCAAAGATTCAGAGGAACAAACCTTAAGCGCGCGGAATACATAATAGTAAAAAGAAGCCATTTTTTGCTTAACAGGGTGGCATGACTTGGCATGGGGTGGTAAACAAACTACAAAGGGTTTACGGTACACAGTGGTGCTAAAATCAGTTTCATTGCGGATTATAAGAATATCGAGGAAGGGGAGGGAATTGTTGGATTCAATTTCAACAGCGAATTGGATGGCTGGATCAATTGAATTCATAATAGATATAATCTCGGATAAATCCTCTTTATAACCGTCAAAAATTTCGAAAGTGTCGTCAACATACCGAATCCAATGGCGAAGAGATAGTTTATCAAATAATTTCATCTCAAAATAGTGCATATAAATGTCAGCAAGTACCGGACTGAGAGGATTACCTATAGCCAATCCTTCAACTTGACGAAAATATGCATTTTGGAAAACAAAGTGGTTTTGACTTAGAGAAACTTTAGTAAGCGAAACCAACTCATTAATTTCAGTACGTGTGAAGTGAAATTCCCGAAGCCTAGTTTCAAGATAATTTAGTGCTCCTTCGACCGGAACATTAGTAAACAGAGATTTGACATCAAATGAAACCATAATGGAACGAAGTGGAGAAATATTTTTAAGTTTATCAATGACTTCAACAGAATTTTTTACAGTGTGAATATTGTTAGCAAGTAGAGGAGAAAATCTGGAAACTAAATATTTGGCCAAAGGATATGAAGCAGTACAATGTTGGAAACAATTGGTCGAAAAGGAATACCGATTTTGTGGACTTTTGGAAGACATAATGTCTAGCGCAATTAGTAATAGGTGAAATAAGTGATTTCTTCAACTGAGTTGGCAGAATGTGGGAAGATTTAATAGCACTTTTTACTTTCGTGAGGTCCGAAGTTGAAGGATCTTTAGGGATCGAGCAGTATGGGCCTTCATTTATCAGTTTAGAGACTCCAGTAATATATGTGTGTTTGTCCATAACAACGATCTGTCCGCCCTTATCAGCTTTAGAGATAACGATATTAGTATCAGAATGAATTTCACGTAAGATCTCATTTTCCTTTTTGCTAAGATTCGAACCCAAAGATTTGTCGTTAAAATTAACGTTATGAGTAATTAGGTGGCGGATTGTATCCTTCTGCGTTTCCGAAATTTTGGAGAATTTAAAGGCCTTCTCTATAGGGGCGATGATTTGAGGAATTGAAGGTTTAGATGTCTTTGAAAAGTTGAAATTATATTTTAATACTGTTAACTGATCCTTCGAAAGATTCTTATTGGAGATATTAAAGATGGCGTTAACGTTTACAGTGAGAAGAGAAGCTAGATAGTTGAGACTATCCGACTGGTGTGTGAGTTTAAGGAATTTAGAATGAAGCACATTTTTATGCCGTTGACAAACGGTATCGGTTCTAGACCAGGATGTATGTTCAAAAGAGGAAAAATTTTCAGTGGAATTAGCAATTTTTAAATGGAGGTAATATAATTCAAATTCAATTTTAGATAAACGTTTGCGTGATTCCATTATAATGTGACGAAGAAGTGCCAATTTGACTTTATGCAAAATTTTTGAAACGTGAACGGAAGCTTTAAGGCTACATTTCACATGTATAAATTTGGGAACGATATTTTGATGTTTTCATTTAAGTAGAAACTGTAGATGATTCAAGAATTTCGTACCCTTAAGGCGTAACTTACAAAATCGGTTCCTGTCAGTGGACATATTGTGAAAAGGGCACAAGCAAGAAACAAGTGAACAATAGATATATAATTCCGAAAGTCCAAACAAGTAATTACTTATAACATGAATAAACACTAATAAACAATGAAGACAATTTTCATCAACATATGACAAAAACATTCCAAAAGGAGAGAAACATCCAATACTGAAAACCAATAGCCACGTGGAAAGAAGCAACGAAAGTCAAAATCGTGCACGTGGTAAACCGATAAAAAATAAAATTTCCTCGAAAATGCCGATTGATAGCATAAACCAAATCCGAAAAACTAATGGCCACGTGGAAAGAAGTAAATAAAACGGTGCACGTGGTAAAACAATAAACAGTAAAATATTCTCGAAAATGCCGGTTCATAGCACAAACTAGACTAGAAGAGAAACACGCTAATGTGACATTATAAGGGACACACGCAAACGTTTATCTAAAATTGAATTTGAATTATATTACCTCCATTTAAAAATTGCTAATTCCACTGAAAATTTTTCCTCTTTTGAACATACATCCTGGTCTAGAACCGATACCGTTTGTCAACGGCATAAAAATGTGCTTCATTCTAAATTCCTTAAACTCACACACCAGTCGGATAGTCTCAACTATCTAGCTTCTCTTCTCACTGTAAACGTTAACGCCATCTTTAATATCTCCAATAGGAATCTTTCGAAGGATCAGTTAAAAGTATTAAAATATAATTTCAACTTTTCAAAGACATCTAAACCTTCAATTCCTCAAATCATCGCCCCTATAGAGAAAGCCTTTAAATTCTCCAAAATTTCGGAAACGCAGAAGGATACAATCCGCCACCTAATTACTCATAACGTTAATTTTAACAACAAATCTTTGGGTTCGAATCTTAGCAAAAAGGAAAATGAGATCTTACGTGAAATTCATTCTGATACTAATATCATTATCTCTAAAGCTGATAAGGGCGGACAGATCGTTGTTATGGACAAACACACATATATTACTGGAGTCTCTAAACTGATAAATGAAGGCCCATACTGCTCGATCCCTAAAGATCCTTCAACTTCGGACCTCACGAAAGTAAAAAGTGCTATTAAATCTTCCCACATTCTGCCAACTCAGTTGAAGAAATCACTTATTCACCTATTACTAATTGCGCTAGACTTTCCAAAAGTCCACAAAACTCGGTATTCCTTTTCGACCAATTGTTTCCAACATGTGTACTGCTTCATATCCTTTGGCCAAATATTTAGTTTCCAGATTTTCTCCTCTACTTGCTAACAATATTCACACTAAAAAAAATTCTGTTGAAGTCATTGATAAACTTAAAAATATTTCTCCACTTCGTTCCATTATGGTTTCATTTGATGTCAAATCTCTGCTTACTAATGTTCCGGTCGAAGGAGCACTAAATTATCTTGAAACTAGGCTTCGGGAATTTCACTTCACACATACTGATATTAATGAGTTGGTTTCGCTTATTAAAGTTTCTCTAAGTCAAAACCACTTTGTTTCCCAAAATGCATATTTTCGTCAAGTTGAAGGATTGCCTATGGGTAACCCTCTCAGTCCGGTACTTGCTGACATTTATATGCACTATTTTGAGATGAAATTATTTGATAAAATATCTTTTCGTCTTTGGATTCGGTATGTTGACGACACTTTCGAACTTTTTGACAGTTATAAAGAGGATTTATCCGAGATTCTATCTATTACGAATTCAATTGATCCAGCCATCCATTTCACTGTTGAAATTGAATCCAACAATTCCCTCCCCTTCCTCGATATTCTTATAATCCGCAATGAAACTGATTTTAGCACCACTGTGTACCGTAAACCCTTTGTGTTGTTTACCACCCCATGCCAAGTCATGCCACCCTGTTAAGCAAAAAATGGCTTCTTTTTACTATTATGTATTCCGCGCGCTTAAAGTTTGTTCCTCTGAATCTTGCTTACCAATGAACTTAATTATTTGAGAGCAGTGCGATTGACCGTGGATTTTTTCTCCCGTGATTATTGATAAAGACGTTAAGAAATTTTCAGATTCCCATCAAAGAAGACATTCCACTGTTAGAAATAATATTAATGACCTTGTCGTGCTTCCATTTTATCCTTATGTTAGTTATAAAATTGCACGGATTGTCCAGAAATTCAATTTTCAAGTCGGTTTCTCCCCTATTAATAAAATTCACCCTTCGATTCTAAAAGATTGCGTTTCTGTCTTGAATTGTTGGGGAATTTATAGTATATCGTGTCAGTGTGTGGTTTAAGATATATTGGCCAAACAAAAAAGAGCGTTGAAGTTTCGTATCAGGGAACATGAATCTTATGTCAGAAAAGGCGAAATTAACAAGTCTTCAATAGCGTATCATAGTTGGACTTTTAACATAATTTTGATTTTGGGTCTGCAAAAAATTATCCAAAAGGCTTCTTCAATAGGTGAATTAGATTTTCTTGAGGCTTTTCACATTCACAAAGATTTAGCAGGTTTAGTTAATGATTTGAAGTCCAATCCAGTCCTTCCTAATGTCTTTAAAATTTTACTATCTTAATAGTTATTTTTGCCGATAGATGGCGTTACCTCCTCGCGTTTGGTACTACCAGAGGGTATAAAAATTCGTTCAGTGGTTAATTTCCATTATTTGAAGTTCAGGTTCAACCAGGTTGTTTTTACGATTTTGATTGTCACATTAGCGTGTTTCTCTTCTAGTCTACATAACGTATGTGTCATGCAGTTTTTAGTTTCATAAAAAAATTGGAAAAAATGTTTAAAATTTATTTATTTATTGAATTTTAATAGTATATTATATTTCATAACCGCTAACCAAATATTTTAATTTTAATATAAACTAATTACATTCTATATGATAGCAGTGATATTTGTATAAAGACAAACCGACTTATTGTATGGATATCTCTAAAATTATAACCGAAGTGAAAACACTGATGCAAATTGTGAAATCTTGATAGCAAATATATTTAAATCTACGCACAGCTTTTAACTATTATTTTTCTGTGTTTATCAACGTAATATTTCATTACTGTTGCTATCATTACAAGTTACTGAGGAATAATTAAGACTTTCAAGAAGAATTATGCGAAGATATTACATATTTCTAATCACTGTTGAATAAACAATAATGGTTTTTATAAAAATTAGAGATGCTGCTAAAAATGGGCTATACCGTTCAGTCGGAACTGTGATACCTATAGTTTGTCGCTTATATTTATACTTTTAATTTAAAGCACCTATTTATTTGCATCGTACAAATAACTAGACTAGAAGATTGCTTTACACCGATATTTCATGTCATTTATAAAATTTAAACCAACATATAATTTATGTATAAGAATTTAAAGAAAATCAACTTACATCTTGCGTCCTAGAGCTGGCACTGACTCCAGTGCTAATGAGGGGAGCTTTCAGATGGACGTTGGCATTGCAAGTTGCCAGGGCAGCGCATAAGAAAACAGCCTATGAGAATATAAACATTATGTTCAGTTACACCTTTTTAATTTCATCAACATTAAAAAATTTAATTTCATTTAAGGAAATTAAAATTTAAAGACTGTTAAAATAATTTCATAAATTGTGAAACCTTTTTAAAAAATTTATCCCACCATTACGAAATCAAGTTCATTCTAATTCTAGTCTTGTTGCCTAATTAATAGCTATACCTCAATCTTCAAAATAAAATTTAAAAGAAAAAAAAATCACTCATATTATAAGGTATTTTCCCCCTTGCGCATGCCTCGGTCCATGTGTAACGTGTATATGAGCCAGTTTTCCTTAGAAAGTCCTCAACGAGGGCATCCGTCCCTTTAGGAAGATAGCACTTGAGGCTTTGCAGTAATGACATGAATTCATAGTATTTCTGGAAGCAAACTCGAGAGGTTCAGGATTCGAGTCGCGGCGAGGGCACTGTCCATTTTTCATTACTCCTGCCTGCTTCCAAAAAAACACTAATTCTGCAATATAATTATGGATGCGAATAATTATATAATAAAATGTAAGAAGCATCACCGATGGGTGAGCTTCTTACTCTTCCGTTAAAACTCTTAAACTTATTAAAACTCTTCCGTTGCTTTTAAAAATTTCAGATTATTGAAAAAGTAACTTGAAGTAGATATGATAGTGGATGTTTTTTAACATTTTAAACAGTATTAAATTAAATATAACACTATAATTTTACCAAATGTTAACTAACGTAAGATATCTATGAAAGGAGAGTATTTTAGTAAGCGAAAAATGTTTAAATTTCCCGTTAAAATAACAGTGAAAAATGATTGAATTTTAGTTGGAAAAAATATATAACTGAAAATTCCTTACACTTTACAGGATTTGTAAAAAGGAGTCAGAAAAGATGGAAGGATTTTATTTAACTTTAAATTTGATAATAAAACTAAAATGAAAACAATCTTCTGAGTAAGGCAGATCCTTATTTTTCCTGCATATTGAATAGCAGTGTTTCTACTTTGACTTCTTCCGAGATGTTTTATGGGTTATGAAACCTTAACTTATCTCCTACTGGATGACGAAGAAACACATTTCTAACGCGTAAATGGAAATACATATGTTATTTAAATAGAAGCGTAAATCTCAAATTTGAAAGTGTGTATATTGTAATGAATTTAAATCTGCGTATATAACAGTAAAAATTCTCAAATGATATTTGATGTAATAAATCAAAAAAAAAATATCATTAGTTGACAGATGTTCTTACCTTTGCGATCATGGTGAATTTGTGGTTTAAATTTTCAGAGTGAAAACTCTCGATTTCATCTAAGCTTTTATACTCAAACTAAGCTTTTTTTAACTTCTTTTCAATTAACGAAAGCCGTTATTGATTCTAAACTGCTAAAACCGGAATGAAAATATAACGGGTCATTTGCATCGAGTACGGCATTGACAATGCCACTTTATAATTACTAGATTGTATCACTATATCAGCTATATCAGCTACTCAGTTGAGCCTCTGGGCTATTACTGTAACTTTGTTTTATTCATAGTAACGTTTGCTTTTCTATGCTTTCCATGCTCTTTATTCACCAAATCTCTGAATTCAGTATTTCGTAAATTTAGTTTATCAGAAATTACCTTTCCTTTTAAAATGCGAAAATATTATTAATGAGGTGATTTGAAAAAAAAAATATTATTCTGCAATCTTTAGAAAAATTACATGCAATACGTGAGGAAGTAAGAACAAGAAAAAAAATTAACATTCCTAAAAATTTAATAGCATTTAAAATTTTTCAAATTTGCTCGAGATTTGGTAAAGTAAATTGAAATATGTTAGTGGATATTTTTAACATACTGAACACTCTCAAATGAGACGTAGCAATATTAATTTTGCCAAATATGAACTATCGTGGAGTACCTACGGGATGAATGTATTTTAAGCCTTTCTTCGACCGTGAAAAAAAGAAGGTCAAAGAAAATTTAGCTTTTTTTTTTTTATTTGTAGAGTAAAAACTAAGAAGCATTTCTGATTAGCTCAGTAACTGATTGTTCATTTTTCATCATAACATATCAAAAGTAAAGAAGAAATGTTCTTACAAAATATTCTCAAGCAATTTCAAAAAGGAAAACAAAATTAAATTATATGTATTTACTTTTATTAACGAATTAATCGATGCAAAGTTTACCGAATTTAGCTTGTTGAATAAATTAATTTTTACGAATGCTTTGTAAAACAACTCTTTTTTGGATAATTCGTTATTTGCAGATTTTAAATAAAAACTCGAATCAATGTATTTGCTGTTTAATAGCTTCGAAATAATATTCTCGATAAAGCTATTTTTTTTCAATTTTTTAAACTGAAAATAACTTTTTGTTTACGTACCGATTTTACCAAATTAATGAAAAGCACTTTATGCAGTAAGCCCACCAGCAATGAAGTGGTTAAAGCCATTGAATATTGGTAAGTTCTATCCAAATGCATGCGACTGAGTGCAGTCAAGGTATATGAGAAATTTCGGGGTTTTCTCCATGTGTAACATAAGCGTGAGAAAATTTCCTATAGAAAATCCTCTACGAAGTCATCTCTTTCTTCAGGCAGATAGCCTTTGAGCACTTTTCCTTACATGAATAAACAAAATAACAAACTTATCGTCCAGTATTCGCATGGTGATGATATGAAGCCTTATTCAGTTTTGGCCAAAACAGGATGTCTGCCAAAAACATCGAGGCATACGTCTCGGAGAAAACCACTCAAGGAAAAAAAAGCGTCGTCGTAGAAAACATCATGGTAATTCACTTCTAAAACACAGTGGTAAATTTTTCTTTCCACCCCCAATGGCGGGATCTAACCATTTATAGGCGTTGGCCACTACAAATGCCGGAAGCGGTGGTCTCCTTATTATACAGGCACCTAATACGTAACCACCGTTGCCTCCTATGAAGGGGTGGAAAAATTACATTCATGTCTTCTCCAGAATTCGTACCCGGGCCGTCTGGGCAGCCGTGGTAGAAAATAAAGTGGTGCAAAAACTTCGCAGTTTAAAATATCGGCGTTTAAATAATACCGTGGTAAACAAATAAGCAGCTACAAATTATCGCAGCCCGGCGCTTTTCGACTACAAAAATTTCGAGTAAATTTTAGCTTTATGATTTAAAAGCTCCTGAGAAGAGTTTGGAATTTTTTATGTAAAAACTATTAATTTATTACGAAAATGTAAACGATTAAAATCTGGAAATTAGTAAAACCTAATGCTATGCACAGCAATTAGTAGAATTTTAAACTTACGTTGCTTTATATTAAAAGTTCGTTTCGTAATTAACCTCTTTTATGAAGGCGTATCAGAAGATTTTCATGAAACAATATGCTATGAAAAGATTAGAAAGAGAAAGATGCATAAGCATAAAATTCGGTTTTGTAACTAAAGTTAATGTTTCAAATAATCTGCTCCATATGTACTTATTTTCGTTATATATATAAATAAAAAGAAGGAAAGAAAAAAAATCATACATCTTTAAATCTTTAAAAGTATCTCTTGATTACCATAGTATAGCTTTTCTACCAAGAGAACATATGAATTTAGTAGTTTATATACATTTATTAATTTTTAAATCAATTCGCGAATTTAAATCAATTTGGAAAATTTTTAAACGCCAATTTTTCATATTACGAAACAGGATTTCTTTAGAAACGTTTTTAGTCGGGTAAAGAAAAGATAAATGGAACTTTCTGGTATTCCACTAACCTTCTCTTCTTGTGTAAGCAGAAAAATTTAAGTTTCGTGCATTTTTATTAAAAGATCGTGTAATCGTAATTGTCATAATTTGAAAGCTTACGTAATTTGTTCATTTCTCAAGTCGAAATCATTGATCTATGATCAACCGTTTAAAATTTCTTCTATCGTGGAATACTTCTGAAGCAACCTGTGTAGTGTATTTATTTATACCCAGATTTTTCAGTAAATGAGAATTTTACATTAACCATTTCATCATATAAACAAATATTCTAGTTATACAGAGTCTCGAAAAAGAATTTTCTTTTTATAAAATTTTAAATTCTTAAATTTTTTTACTTAAAAAAACATCATTTAAAATTATTTAATATATCTGAAATAGAGTTAATTTGAAGTTATTAACCTGAAAAATATACACATATTAAGATAGCGAAGAAGAAAAAATGTCAGGGGCTCTAAACGCATAAAAATAAATTATGTCTTCTCTCTATGAAATATCTACGTGTGCTGTGTAGATTAGATATACTAAACACAGCTTGACACATCAAGCAGACGAAAATGCCTTAAATTCCTCATAAATTTAGTATCATGTTATGTAATGCATTGCTGATTCATAATGATAAAGGCATTCGTGTGAGATGAATTAAAAACCACAAACATGTGTAAAATATTGTGAAATGTAGTCTACTTAAAAAGATTTCACCATTATAAAATTTGAATCTATAGTCAGTTTTGTTGTAATATTGATTTAGTAATATAATCTCTGACAGAGTTTATTAATACTTTTTTCCAAAGTTACTGGCATAAATTAAATATTTTGTCACATAATTTCCAATTTAAAAAAAAATGTTATTGCATTAAAATATATCCAGACATGATAGCTATTGAATAATATTTGAACCCTTTTTGAGAATCAACAAAAAGATATGGCAAGTCAAAATGTAGAGGAAAAATAAGAAAACGTAATATTAAAAGAAAATATCCTCTTTGCCAGTACAAGAACGTGTTTCCAGCATTCTTACACATTGTTTGCTTACACGTGTAACTCCAATTGCGGAAATATTTCCAGCGGGTTGTTCTTCAACTATTAATCGATATCGACCCAGACAATATTGAAATGCGTGGAAATTTTAATGTATGCAAATCCACTGCATTCACTTGAGTTAATTATACTTCAAGGACAGATATAGTATCTTACTTCGTCCTTGTTATAACCACATCTAACTTGATTTTTCGGCTGCTGTCTACGGTATATAAAGACTTAAGTTTTCGTAGAAAATCATTCACATCTGTAGCTGAATACCTCAATAAACTTGAAAATGTTCGCAAAGGTAAGCAATATTATTTTAACTTAGTGAAACAAATATCTTCATAGGTTTAACTAAGCTACTTTATGAAATCATATCAAGTCTATCGGTTCCATTCTACAAAGGTATTACATTTAGATTTTGTAACACAGTACGTACACAATAGTCTCAAAAGGTGGCTATAGATTATATTTTCTTAAATGTTAATTCTAAGGAAATACTTCTATACACAGAATTTCTCAAGAATATTTTTTACATGGTCCATTTAGAGAAAAAAAGATATATCATTCTTTTATATATTAAATATGAAATATTCCATATATTTGTATTCAAAATTCTGGAGATATTGTGCATCATAATTTCGTAGATTAGCACCAAAATTAATACATACCCTGTATAACGTTTTATATTGTATTATAAAATTTTTACATTAGTACAGTATAAAATCTTTGAAAAGAATGCATTTGCTGAAAAATTTTAAAGTTAGATAAAAACCGATAAAAGCTATGTTCTTTCCAGTAATTAAACATTATGTAAAACAGAAAAAAAATATTTGAATCGGGAAAGTTTGCACTGCGTTTCATCTCGTAAGAATTTTTCATGTTTTTTCTGTTAATATTTTCAGTAATGATTGCGATTGTTATATGCATGTTATATGCATTGTTATATGCATGAGCATAAGAATTTGAATTTTATTGCAGAACTGACGTTAATACACTATTTGTCTTTCGAACAGCGGTTCAATACTGCGGTTTCATTATAATTCTTAATCCTTAGTGTTGAAGTTATTGGTATTAAAATTTTTCATAAAATATAAAGAAAGAGAATATTGTAATTCAGGTCACGATGATGTCTCGTCTGGTGCGAAGCCTCTTAGGTCCTAAATATATTAAATTACTTGTATTTGGTTTCAAATAGATTGGATGTGAGTTTGAAGCAATTAATCTTTGTTCTAATTTCGGTATTCAGTTGTAGTTATTTAAGAGATTCAGCATCATTTTTACTTCCTTGTACGATTTAAAGGAAGTATTGTAATTACGAAAAAATTCCGAGTATCATATTTCAACAAAATTACCCATCTTGACCGTTATTGAATGAAATTTAATTTTTGCGTATTAATTAGATATTTTGTGTGACGTCTGTACGTAAGAACAGAATAAAGAACTCTTTTCTCCCAAAACGAATTTTAAAACTAATTTAAAATGGATTCAGAAGAGATTTTTTCGTGGCGTCTGTACGTGCGTACGTATGTATGTATGTATCTCACATAACTCAAAAACGATTAGCTTCAGAACATTGAAATTTTGTATATAGGGCTGCTATAGCACGTAGTTGTGCACCTCCCTTTTTGGTAACAAACGGCTGCACCAAAAATATATAAATATATATACCCACTCTGTTACTCAGGTCATTGAGCTCAGTTATTTTTATTATTATATGTTGGTAAATTGCGCATTTTTTGCTTTAAAAATAATTGAATTATGTTGTTCGTATCTTTCGGTTAAGGTTTTTTATGCCTTTAGTTAATGTGCACGCAACAGTTGTAGAATTATAAACAATTTAAAAGTTGTTTAAATGCAGTTTAGCCTGATTTTTCTTACCATAGCAGCCACATTTGTTTGCATTTGATACTTAGCAGAACAATGAATTAAATCTTGCTCCATCTTCAGTCTCTTTTTGCTGAGTGGGACCAAAAGGAAACTTTTAGTTTCGTGCACCGAAAAATATGCCTTTTTGCCTGCTGACCGAATTGCTTGTTTTTGCGCAGAAACTCTAATTTTAATTGTAAAATTTGGTTTTATTTTTTTTTACTGTATTTGGTGTTTTATGTTTTTTATATCTTTCAATTTTTAATAAAGGTATTTTGAGATTTTACGTATTTTTGCATTGCTGCGAAGTTAGAACGGAATTAATTGAATGAGAAATATATCTGTAATGAAATTCGAGGATATGAGTGTTTCATATTAGCAGCAAATATTGTCGCCAGTCTATCTGGGACAAAGGAGACTTTATTTGTTTAATTTCTTTTATACATTGTTTTATATTTATTTATTGTAGCATTTGAATAGAACATGTAGCAACTATTAGGTAATTCTTCAGCTTATATAATTTTTGTACAATCTGAGTTATAAACTGAATGAGCTGTAACGCTGTTAAGTAAACCTAGCGCCACAGTGTCACTATGGCAAATAAATATAGTAAATTTTAGAGTGCATTTATTCTATTGTGGTTTATGCGCTATCGGCAAAGTAGATTTATTTTAATTCAAGAAGTTTAAATGAAAGGCAGGAAAAATGGGTATAATTTAATATTCCGTGCAAGGAAGTCATGTGGCGTACACATCAATTTTTTAAAAATTTGATACAAATAGCAATAGCACCAAGAGCAACAAACAGCTGCAACAATAATAACTTAAGTTTCCAGAATATATTCTCTAACTCTTTGAGCATTGGCAATCATGAAAAGCGTTCAAGAATTTCAAGCTTCTGACGTAAAATCTCAAATTTCATTTTTTAAGACTCCTTAAATAAGAAAATTTACTGATCTTATTTAAAATATTCCATTCTTAAACATTTTAAGCATTACAAATTTTTATCATCTTGTTTAGTTCATATTCTTTTCAACTACTGAGATCAATTCAAAAACACTGCTTAGAGAGGGCTTTAAATAATCATGCTCAGGAATTTGTAATATATTAAATTATGTTATATAAATGTTAATGCCAAAAGAACTAAAATCGAATTCATATGAAAACAAATTCTTAGTAAATTAGCAGGGGCTTAAAAAATAAACCAGCCTTTTAAAATGGAAATAAAAATAGAAGAATAATTTTTAATATATTAAACTGAACTAATTGTGCTTTTTCTCCGTAAAGAATCATTCAAAATGAATAGAAATCACAATTCATTAAACAGAAAGTGGCATGGACAATCTGTAGGCAAGAGCAGATGCTGTGCGTAATACATTTGACATAACTTATCTGAACAATTACATGGCAGTTTGGAAATGGTACAACAACCTCATTTAATTTAATTGAGAGTTTAACCCTTTTCTTTAACCAGGTTGTTGTTCTTTTCGCTGCCATCGCAGCTGTTCAAGGTAGTGGCCTTATCGGAGCCGGCTATGGATATGGAGCTGGATATGGATTAGCCCGTGCACCAGCCCTTGTTGGAACGGCTGTAGTTCCCGCAGTCTCTTCTTCAAAAACCGCCATCAACCACATCGTCCCTGTCGGAATTGCTGCTGCTCCCGTCGCCTTGACTGCTGCTCCTGTTGCTGTAGCTGCTGCTCCACTGGGTCTTGCTGGACAAAGAATCGCCGCCGCTCCTTTTGCTTATGGAAACGGACTGATCGGTAACGGTCTTCTCGGTGCCGGTGTAGTAGGCCACGGAATCGCTGCTGCCCCACTTGCTTATGGAAACGGGCTAATTGGTAACGGTCTTCTTGGTGCTGGTGTTGTAGGCCACGGAATCGCTGCTGCGCCCCTTGCTTACGGCAATGGATATCTTGGTTTGGGAGCTGGGAAACTCGCTGTTGGAGGAGGCCTTGCCAAGGCAATCTTGTAAAATTTTTGTTCTACGATTTTCAGTGTAAATATGCTAAACTAAATTATTAAATTATACAACAATAAATTATGAATTTTATGCCTGTTTTTTCTTTATGTTGCAATTATTATCACGCAAACAAATTTTAGAAAAGCCCAGTAGAGAAAAGTTATAAATTCAGCAAAATAGGAAAAGATTTTGCATATCTTTTAAAAACGTTATTTCTGTAATTTCTATCCTGCTTTCTATCTTAATGAGAGCAATATTGTGAATAGCAATTTCCTATTTAGCATGATAACTGATCTATGTAAAAAGCATACTTCTTTAAATAACATATCTGCATCTCCAGCCCTTTTTTGTGTATTACTTTGCATTTTCATCACGGTTTTGGGGTATTTATCTGCATAGTTAAATTGAAACAATTATTTTTTATGAACGAAAGTTCACTATATGTAAACAGGGAGGAATGTTTACTCTTATTTCTCAAGTCTTTGGATTTGCGATTAAGCGAATTTTGTAGGGAAGTAGTGAGTTAGCAAGAAAACTGGTTTAAATAAGGAAGTTTTGTAAGACATACCAAATATCAGTTTATCTAAATAATACAAATTTTACCCCTCACGTCGTTATCTATATATGCTATTGGTATTCTTTCTTACATGTATGTATACATGACAACTGATATGCATGACAAGTGAAGCTACAAATAGCAGAAACAAATAAACTTCATTAAAAAAGGAAACTTAATAACTGGAATTCTAACTCGAATACATTTCTGTACGTTTAAATTTCTTTCATTTTGTAGTTGAAGAAAAAGACAGTGAAATTTGTACTGTAAGTTTTATTTATATTGTAGAGTCCAGTGAATGAAATTCTGTCTGTATACTGGAGTAGCAGGAAACTACACAGGAGAAGTGTTAAAGTACCCTTTATTAAATCTTTGAAAAATTTACAATGCGTCAATTCGACGCTAACAAACTTCGCCTCTGCTTGGGCGGTAACTGAAAGTCAGACAATTGAAACTAAAAGTTGAAATATTTACAAGTGATAAAACTAGCCTACAGGGCTCAGCGAGATACGGCAACTTAAACTCCCTTTCAAGCAGATAAATGCAATTAAGCTAGTTGAACCAGCAATAAGCAAACGTACCGACGGTAAAAACGGCAGCTATAGCCTTTCTCATTCTCCTACCGAAACTCGGCTGTTAACTACTTCCTTCAAAGTAGAAAATTTGCATTTCCTTCCGCATGCTACAACATTTAACTATTCTGGCACTGACAGTTAGGGAAATGAAGGTTTACAGGAAAGGTCTAAACTCAAACTTTAAATTGTTAGTTATAATAAGTATAAATCCCTACAACATTATGTCACTTCCGAATCCTAAATGCTAATTTCCGTCCTTTTACATGATATCTAGACCTAATCTGATGATAGGTACTATATATAGAGAAAAAATTTCATGTAGCTATGCTATTATAAGATTCTTTAAATCGTTTACAAATTACAGGGGGAAAATACAGCAAAGTACTTACAGCAAATGCTAGTTTTTTTATTGTGCATTTATTGTGTTTGGGTAAAGCGCTTGGAATTAATTAGGGAAACACTTTTCGGGAGGAAAAGATTTTAACAGAGTTCTTGAAATATCGAGATATTTGAAGTAAAAGCACTACAGTAGTCTTTTGTTATTTTTGATGTCTAGGGATGTGTTTACGAGCAATTTTTATTTAATCTATTTAATGAAATGTCTGTTATTATGGACAGAAAAGTATTATTCCAATAATATCACTATCTAATTAATATTTAGTGATAATATATAATGCGAAGGCTATAGAATCTACCACAGAGGCATCCTTCAGGCACATAACTCTCGAAGCTCTGCCGTAATTGCATAAACCAAACCAAACTTTGCAATTTCTGCTTGTAAAGATGCTCTTTACATGCTTGTAAGAAGCCTTTTTAAAAGCGCTGTTGTCAAAAACGCTATTTTGCTTTTCCTCAAAGCAAAATTAATACTTTCTACAAACAGAAGGAATACTTAGAAGCTATGACGATACTTCTTTTATAATTGCTTTTATTGAATATTTAAAATAACAATCTGTCGTCAGAAGTTTTATCTCTCAACTCAAAGATCTCTTTATTTTAATGTTTACAGCTTAATTTTGCTGTTCAAAATTTGTGAATTAAGCAATTTTTCCTTGTTTATGAAATTTCTTTTTCTCAAACAATATATGTATATAGCATATTTTTTTGGGGATTAGGTTCTAAATTTCTTATTTCTTACATATATATATATACTACACTCATGTCCATAAATTAAGGATAATTCGGAGTCACGCGGAAATCGAACTCTAAAATAAATATATCACCTGTAAAATCACTACACACAACTTCAAGAATCATATGCAAATTTCAGGAAGTAACCAGATGACACCGATGGTACGTCACAATGACGAGAGTGTAAGAGGGTGATATATAAGGAATACAGGCAAAGAAGTAAAATTTTTCGGAGGCGCTTTATAAGCATTTCAGTGCATTAACCGAATAGTTATGACTCAAAGGACGCATTTGGATGATTTTTTACGTGGTAGAATTATCAGCCCTCTGGAATGTGGGCGTACCCAACTAGAAGTATCAGACTAACTTGGAATTGCCCAGAGTGTCATCTCCAGGCTTTGGCAACGATTCCAAGATGATGGTAATCTGAGTAGACGTTACAGCAGAGGTCGCCCCAGAGTTACAACGCCGAATGAGGACCGGTATTTGGCAGTTACTGCCAAACGAAACAGCCGGAGCACAGCCTCAGACCTGTCTCGTAAGCTCTCTTCAGCCACTGGTACGACAATTTCAAGGCAGACCGTGTACAAACGCTTAGAGCAGATTGGTCTATATGCTCGTAGACCTGTCAGATGCGTTCCACTTACTGCAACTCACTGTCGCCTGCGGTTAGCCTGGAGTAGAGAGCATGCATTGTGGACACCGCAACAGTGGGCTTCTGTGATGTTTTCCGACGAGTCCAGGTTTAGCTTGCAGTCTGATTCTCGCCGGACTTTCACATGGAGAGCTCCAGGTACCCGTTACCACCAAGAAAACATCATTGAACGACACCGTTACGGTGGTGCAGGAGTGCTCGTTTGGGGTGGAATTATTCTGGGTTCCAGAACTGACCTGCATGTTCAAATTGGAACCATGACAATTCAAATCTATCGGGACGTTATTCTGGAACAACATATACGTTTGTTTCGGGTCGCCATGTGCGCACAATTTGTGTTTATGGATGGCAACACCCGTCTTCACCGTGCAAACATCGTAAGCGAATGCCTTCAATCGGAGGATATCATTCGTATGAACTGGCCAGCATTCTCACCGGACTTGAATCCAGTAGAGCAAGTGTGGGACATGCTTGGCCGAAGAGTTACAGCTCGTCAACTACCTCCTACATGTCTACCGGAACTTCGGAAAGCATTGCTTTTTGAGTGGTGTAATATCCTCCAAGATCAGATCGATAATTTGATACTCAGCATGCCTAGGCGTTGTACGGACTGTATTGCATCGTCTGGGAGACATACAATGTATTAACAATCATACAAACCGTGTAATATTGTTTTTTTGTAAATAGGTTTTTTTTTGTAATTTGCTCCAGGGAGAAAAAATCGCTAATTTTTTTAATAATATCAAACATATAGCATCTTTTTTTGCTCTTTACCTTTTGTTTAATAAATAAGCTTTACAAATAAGTCAAATTTGTTTTGCTTCTAACTCTTCCTTTGCCTGATTTTGCATTATCCTTAATTTATGGACATGAGTGTAGATTAGATCAATATCTAACTATTTAATATGTATTATAACGAATAGAACAGAAGAGACAAAGACCGTGTTATGCATGTGAAGTTATAAGACAGCAGCATCAAACATACAAGGTATGTTATTTTAAAAATAATAGTCATCTGATTAGCTATAGACACAGTCTAGATATGAGTCAGTAAATTGTGGTCTGCTGCTAAAGTTCGAGGATCCGGCGAGCAAATGTTGATAATGGCCTAGTGTTTGTTACTGCTAATACTCAGAGATCGTGATGCGCTTTCAACTGCTAGCTAGAATGGGCAAATCGAGCGTAAGTGGTTTCGTGATAGCAAAGTTAAATCTGACAATATTTTTAATATTTGTATATCCTAACTATTTGAAAGGACTCAAAATATAATTAGGGTTGCAATGGATGCCCTGAAAATTGTCATCTCGTTTTGTTATTAATAACCCACATAACGAAATTTGACAGCATATTACCTGCCTTTGATTTCGAAGAAGTATGCCATGAACTACTAAAAGTTGAAAGATATAAATCTCGATCTTAAGGTTAAACGTTTTGTTTCGACGATGTTAAAATTTACCAACCAAAATTTAGCTCAAGTATCTTTTACTACTTCTCTCTTTCTTTCAGTTGCTCTTTTTATATCACAGCATCAGAATTCGATAATTCAACTCACCACTATTCCGCCAATAATGGCTAAATCCACTTAGGGCCTTGAACTTTCAGTGAATTTCTCAAGATTTGAAAATCGCAAATCAAAATTACTCGACCTTACTGGGGAACTTTTCAGAATTATCCCAGCTACTTCTAATGACAACCGCAAGCTCAGAAAATCGTTCAAATCTCAAAATATTGAACACTACGTAGTCAAGGAGGAAAACGCTCCATAGTTTATCCACTTGCCCCGATAATGAAGAAAAATGAAAATGAACTAAAAATGAAATTTTCTCAGCAGGTATCGAAAAGAAAAAAGAAGATTCTATGTACGTAAAATTATTCAGCTAGCCCAGGAATGGTACTAAAATTGTCGTGCCATTATTTCAAGTTCAACCGATAACAAAGAAAATATTTACAAAATATATAATATTGTTACGGTTTTTGTATTTAGTTTTCTATTTTTAGTAAAATTGTAATTAAAATTGTTTCATTTTTCCGTGCAATGCAGCGCGTGACGAGTTTTATAGAAAGTTACGCCGAAAAAGTAAAAATACAGGAGCATATGCATTTAATAAATAGATATCTCGTAATTGCTTTTGCTTTCCATAAACCTCGAGAATAGAAATTACCGGAAGCTTCT